ATTGAAGAAATATTGTATGATTATTCCTTAAAAATAAAGTTTTAAATATTTTAGTAGTAGTAGTAGCCTATTAAGTACATTCTACTGAAAAACAGTAATATATTTCTGCTGCAATGTCTTCAAGTTAAACCGAACCTTTATTTTGAAGGGTTGCCTTGAATACCTTTACATTTCTGGGGGCCTAATATAATGGCAGATTCTTATTAACTATTATGTTTTTTTTTAAGTGTCTTTAATGTAAAATACTAAATCAACTATTCTATTTAAAGTTTTATTTTGATGATATAATTGAATAACCGATGATGAACAAAGCAGAATCCCAGTAAAAGTGATTCATCTGAAAGTTATTCTATGACATATATACAGGCATATGAATATTTACATATTGCTTATATTTTAACACTATGAAAGAAAATTTTATGGTTTCACTCAATTAACCTATAAGTTGAATATGTCTGTAATGTATATCTAATTTACGTATATTGCATAATAACCCCATTAATTACAATAGGTATTACATTTAAACATAATTACACTAGTAAAAACATGCCATCTTCTGTACCAATTCTGAAGGGCATCTTTGCCCAAGGGTCTAATTTTATCTTCAAAATAAAAATTCCAACTTTCACTCAATTTTCCCTCCCAAAACCAAAAAAAAAAAAAAAAAAAAAAAAGACATTTTTTGTCCACGAATGACACACAAAAAAACGTCCATATTCATCGTCATAGATTCAACTATTTTCCAGAGATAGTTCAATTAACATCAAACCCGTTTCAACTACCTCCATCTCGCAAATGTTTATCTAACGAAATTAAATATAGCATAGGCATTCATCAAAAGTGCTGAGATGAAATTGTGTGCCATTTATGGACATCATAAATAAAATAAGGTAAAACTTCGTATTACCCAACGTTGAAATTGAACATTTTTTTAACAACCATGCTTTTCGACATGTATTTACAACATGGTTCAGGTATATTAACTGTAGATACATATTTTGACATGTCCCTCACAATGCGTAGTGCATGAGCGCCACTATCAACCAGTACTGATCAGTACCATATTACAGGTTAATTAACCCTTGTTCAGTGGCATTAATGAGCCAAAACGTCCGGTGAGCGAGTATTTGTTTCCTACCATTGATTTTAGCTTGGTTGGCTTATTCCACAATCCTACGATGAAGGCAAGGAAGAGGGTCATTAAAATCATCGAAAGCGAGATTGTTGGTTGGCCAACCACGACAACTGCGTTAAGTTCACATGTTCTTGTTATGTAAAAGTCCTCGAAGTATATCATGGAGGTATATAGAATCCTATTGATTGCTCCAGCTGGATATTAATCCATGAGCGCACAATGCAGGCTTCTTCCTCTCGTCCTATGTGCGCGCACTGGTGAATCTGCTAGTGAAAACACACACACACACACACACACACCGCCCATAGAGCTCTTTCACTTTGCCATGCGTCTCTTGCAAGCGCAGTGCCAGTGCTCTTCCTTCTGTGTAACTCGGCAACATGTTTGTTTGGGGTGTTAAACACACAGTAATCTCGGATCCACGAAGAAGCCAGTTCATGAAAGCAGGAACGGAGGTTAGAAGTCCACTGACATAGGACCTTAAGATAAGGTTATTTAAGGACTTCAAACGAAGTCCTCTTGGTAAATTGCTAAATATGCACTAGTATGTTCAAAGAAATGAACGAGAAATATTATTAACATGATGCGCACCGACATGAGATGAAGACTCGAGTCATTAGTCTTAAAACTGCACTTGGAAAACAGTTTTATTTTGCGCGTGGAGCGGGTCGCCCCCTCATGGCCTCGGCCATGTTGATGTCACGTGACCAGCTGCGTGCGATGTTTACCATTTACTATTAATACCATTTAAAATGAAGTTTGTTTTATTTTAGACAATGCTGAAGCTGCTTTATAAAATCGAAAAATAAAATTATCAGACAATATATCAACAAAAATACACGGCGAGTCCAAATAAAAGAATGTCTGTTATATGGATGTGTGCGAGATGACCTAAAGAAAGGAACATATTTGGTGTGAAGCTGCAGCAGTTAGTTAACTAACTTAATACTGACACCTATTAGCCCTGAATGCATTAAGTCCATCGACCTATCTCTATAGATGCCTAATCAGAGTGTATTGTAGCAAAATGTAGCTCAGTTTCCTTTAAAATTAATAAGTAAATTTTTTTAAAATCCTAAAAGCTGAGAATCTGGTCTGCATTATTGTTATCTGAAGAGGCATACAAATCCCATTAAATAAATACAAAAAACAACAGACTTTAAAAAGAATTTCTTCCGATATATTTAAAATTCAAAAAGGATGACAACGTCAAACATTTATGCACACATTCATATCAATGCAATGCAGAAAACCTTAGGTAAAAGGTCAAATATTTGACACGATATTAGATGACACCTATATCTGAATTTCTGAATCCCATCTACAAATTGTACATTTTTATTGGGTCTTTCTACTTGCTCCCAAACTCAGATTTGAGAGAGAGTCCTCCACCTCTGGGTCGTCTTCCTCCTCCTCATCGTCCTCTTCATCATAATCATCGTCAAAGTCGTCATCCTCCTCGTCTTTGTAGCCCCCTCCAGATTCCTGATTTGTCCAATAGGAGCTGTATCCAGACGCACCATAATCATCTTCATCAGCGCCACTCTGCCGGCCAAATTTGTGTGTTCGGGCTGCAAGAACATAAAACAATTTAAGTTTTTGTCATTTTGGTGCTACTGCGTTTTTGTCATTTTTATTATACTGAATAAAATGTCTCTAATCTGAATTTACAAAATTCAGATTAGAAGAGACTGTAATAGTAGATGGCAGACAGCACTCACTGGACATGCTGAGATCTTTGGTCTCCTGAGTTTCATGTCCACACTGTGGGCACGGGGGAGCCTTGCCTTTCTCCTGCTTGAACACTTTGCTTTGAGCGTGATCGTCACAGCATTTCACTCACAGTTTGTCCACACAATATACGTACACAAACAAATCAGACTGAGGAACGACTGGGCTGGACTTGCTTATTTGTTTTTTACGGAGCACATGACATGCAAGAAAAAATAAATAAATTGTGCGCACGATTTACTAATTCGTTCCCTCGATGTTCTAAAACGTGCACACGATTACTATTTCGTTCCCTCGATTTGCTAAATCATGCACACAATTTACTAATTCATTCTCTCGATTTATAAATTGTGTGCATGACTTAGCAAATCGAGGGAACGAAATAGTAAATCGTGCACACGATTTAGCCTACTATTTTTTTTCCAGCATGTCATGTGCGGGGCTCCGTAGTTTTTTTAATAACAAAAAACCCCAAAGTTATATTTTTGGCAACTGTAAATGCCCTTTCACACTAAAAGTGAAATGAATAAGACTCAGGCTGAAGGAAGCACCTCTGAACCTCACTCCCGATTGAAGAGATTTTTTGGGAAAACAAAGTAACTTGTGTCACTTATTTAAAAACGTAACTCAGATATTTTGTTGTAAATTTAAAAGTAATGCATTACTAGTTACTGGAAAAAAGTAATCTGATTACAAAACTCGTGTTACTTGTAACTGATGGTAACTGATTGTGCCGTAGCAAACATGAACGCTTGCTCATGTTCCCAAATGCTGCGGTCACACTCAATGCAGTCTACATCAGAAAGGGGGCAGGAGCAGGCATGGGTGCTCAAGCACTTCCTTCCATGGCAAACCCAGGCCTCACAGAAGTCACATATGGCCCCCTATAGGATACAAACACTACTGCATTAACAACAGAGTTTTCAGATTCTTCCAAAGCTAATTTAATAGTGATATGAGCGTCAGCACAATTCCAAGAGACTTCCGTCTACAATAAGAGGAAACTAAAAGCTGACAGAGAGCTCATATACAGTGGGTACGGAAAGTATTCAGACCCCCTTACATTTTTCACTCTGTTATATTGCAGCCATTTGCTAAAATCATTTAAGTTCATTTTTTTCCCTCATTAATGTACACACAGCACCCCATATTGACAGAAAAACACAGAATTGTTGACATTTTTGCAGATTTATTAAAAGAGAAAAACTGAAATATCACATGGTCCTAAGTATTCAGACCCTTTGCTCAGTATTTAGTAGAAGCACCCTTTTGATCTAATACAGCCATGAGTCTTTTTGGGAAAGATGCAACAAGTTTGTCACACCTGGATTTGGGGATCCTCTGCCATGCCTCCTTGCAGATCCTCTCCAGTTCGGTCAGGTTGGATGGTAAACGTTGGTGAACAGCCATTTTTAGGTCTCTCCAGAGATGCTCAATTGGGTTTAAGTCAGGGCTCTGGCTGGACTATTCAAGAACAGTCACAGAGTTGTTGGGAAGCCACTCCTTCGTTATTTTAGCAGAGTGATTAGGGTCATTGTATTGTTGGAAGGTAAACCTTCGGCCCAGTCTGAGGTCCTGAGCACTCTGGAGAAGGTTTTCGTCCAGGATATCCCTGTACTTGGCCGCATTCATCTTTCCCTCGATTGCAACCAGTCATCCTGTCCCTGCAGCTGAAAAACACCCCCACAGCATGATGCTGCCACCACCATGCTTCACTGTTGGGACTGTATTGGACAGGTGATGAGCAGTGCCTGGTTTTCTCCACACATACCGCTTAGAATTAAGGCCAAAAAGTTCTATCTGGGTCTCATCAGACCAGAGAATCTTATTTCTCACCATCTTGGAGTCCTCCATGCAGGCTTTCATGTGTCTTGCACTGAGGAGAGGCTTCCATCGGGCCACTCTGCCATAAAGCCCCAACTGGTGGAGGGCTGCAGGGATGGTTGACTTTCTACAACTTTCTCCCATCTCCCAACTGCATCTCTGGAGCTCAGCCACAGTGATCTTTGGGTTCTTCTTTACCTCTCTCACCAAGGCTCTTCCCCCCCGAGAGCTCAGTTTGGCCGGACGGCCAGCTCTAGGAAGGGTTCTGGTCATCCCAAACGTCTTCCATTTAAGGAATGGAGGCCACTGTGCTCTTGGGAACCTTAAGTGCAGCAGAAATTTTTTTGTAACCGTGGCCAGATCTGTGCCTTGCCACAATTCTGTCTCTGAGCTCTTCAGGCAGTTCCTTTGACCTCATGATTCTCATTTGCTCTGACATGCACTGTGAGCTGTAAGGTCTTATATAGACAGATGTGTGGCTTTCC